CAGCTCCTGGCCCTGGGGGAGGGAAGAGGCGGTGTCGGGAGGAGAGAGCTCCCTGGACCTGCCACCAGCCACATGGGTGTTGTCGGAGAGGCGGGATGTGGCCTCCATCCTTCAGAACGGAAGCTTTGCTTAACATAAGGTGCGGCTGGACCCGCCTAAATAACCCACAGGTGATACAGACGCTTGTCCTGGGGGCCATGCTGTCCCGATGCCCCTTGAGGGTCAGAAAGAAAGGAGAGAGAGGCAGATGGGAGAAACAAGAGCAAAGATCACCACCTCCTCCCCACATTCAAGGCTGCTTCCTCAACTTCATCCGTTAACTATTTGAGCACCAGTCGCCTGCCAGGCGAAGGAGGAAAGCATGGGATCTGTTAGATTCATATAAATGCAAGTAACTCAGGAAGAAAAAGAACTGGGGGAGTAGAAGGAAGGGACTTGTTCAGCCACATGGGGTGGGGACAGAGAAAGAAAATAACAGCTAACAATACTAAGAACTGACACTAAGCTCTGACCATGGATAGGCATGATTCTAGATATTCTTGATGTAGACTGAATGCCCATGACCACCCTTTGAGAGAGGTGCTATTATAAAACCCACTTCAAGGTGAAAAATCCTAAAGCAAACTTAAACTTCTTTAAAAATATATTTTTATTGATTTCAGAGAGGAAGGGAGAGGGAGAGAGAGATAGAAACATCAATGATTAGAGAGAATCATCGATTGGCTGCCTCCTGCACGCCCCCGCCCCCTGCCCCCAGTGGAGATGGAGCCTGCAACCTGGGCATGTGCCCTGATCGGGAATCAAACTCTGACCTCCTGATTCATAAGTTGATGCTCAACCACTGAGCCACACCAGCCGGGCTAAACCTAAACTATTTGATTTTGGAGTTCCCGAAGTTTGCCAAAACAGAAAGGGAAAGAAGGGCCCATTTCCCAGGCTCTCCTTTGCACATATATACACAGAACACTCCAAAATTCAATTGCTCTCAGTTGAGACAAAGGTATCATTCGAGTATACCCTGCCAATAGCACATGGGTTCCCACCCTTCAAGATTACCAAAGGCTTGAGAAAGTTTAGCATTTCTTGTAAGTCCTTAGGAAGGTTTTACAGAAACATGGGCAAGAGTGGTGTGGCCAACCCTGCATCCCTCTACCTTCCAGTCCCAAGACACACACACATAATGCCGCCCACGCTTTCCGGGCCCAGTTCCACCACCCCCCTGGACTGCCTTCCCCGACCGCCTCACTGGCAGTGGTCCACCCCCTCCCCAATCTTTTCCAAGGTCCTGTAGCTTCTATGTTTTGCATCATGCCCCAGCACTTGGCACTGACCACTTATCTGGTAGGTATCTGCCCTCACTTCATCTCCTACAGCCTTTCAGTTTACAAGAGGGAAAACCAAAGGCAAAGTCCCACCCCCTTAAACACAGCAGGCGCTCAGAAACACAGCTGTCCAATGAGGAGTAGGTCTGGCAGACACCTCAACCCACAGGGAGTTGTGAGAAGGATCCGACTGGACTCACAGACACCTCAGAGGGTGTTACTACCAATAATGAGCACCCCTAAGTCAGGGGTTCTCAAAGTGGGGTGTTGGGACCAGCAGCAGCAGCAGCACTTGGAAATTAGGGGGAAGTGGACAGAGCAAAACCAATTGTTGCTACATCTTACAATCTTTCAAGAGAAGCGGGGCGGTACCAGCCTCAGACCTGCACAGCTGGGCTCCTCTAGGCCCTCTGGCGACTGTGTCAGGACAACGCCCACCCAGATCCCACACGCCCCATCCTAAACCCATCTGGGCACCCTCAACTGGGATTTTCATGCCCAGATGGTCCTAAGAGACACCCAGGATGGCAAACCCCTGCAGTGGGGTGGTCAAGTAAAACACAAGGTGTCCTGCCGAAACCAGTTTGGCTCAGTGGATAGAGCGTCGGCCTGCGGACTGAAAGGTCCCAGGTTTGATTCCGGTCAAGGGCATGTACCTGGGTTGCGGGCATATCCCCAGTAGGAGATGTGCAGGAGGCAGCTGATCGATGTTTCTCTGTCATCGATGTTTCTAACTCTCTATCTCTCTCCCTTCCTCTCTGTAAAGAAAAAAATCAATAAAAAATATTTAAAAAAAACACAAGGTGTCCAGTTATATGTGAATGATTCTCTAGTCTATGTCTCAGACCTTGCGTTGTTTATGTTGATCTGAAATCCAGATTTAACTCAGCATCCTGTATCTTCATTGGCTAGATCTGCCCACCCTACCTCCCAGGACTGCCTTCTTAAGACCCACTGCTGGCCGAGGAGTGACCACAGCAGGGAAGGGAGACGCTTCTGAACAAGGGGTATGGGGGAAGGGGACTGAGCTGTCCACATCAATGCTCTCAGTCCTTTCTCAGGGGAGCAGGACGAGCTGGGAATGGGGGGGGGGGGGGGGGGGG